TAGATTTTCAGTACAAATCGGCAATTTCATACTTTAACCCCTATTATAAAGCCAAAACCAAGTCATATTATGTAATACAAAATAATAATAATATCATAATCGGTGTTGGTCCTCAATTGGTATTCGTCAAGTCCAAGGCGTGCCTTATTCAGTAAAACACCATGATGACTTCAAAACGGCGTAACGACTAAATCTAGTTTTTTACGACTAGAACTGACTAAAACACGACTTTTTTAGTGTAATCAGATTAAAGCTAGGTGTTTTGTGGTTTTCGAGATTGAGAAATGGTGCAGCTGTTACAAGCTTATTTCAGTATGGACAGCAAAGCACCCTTAAAACTTTTGAACGGCGGCGAGCTGAGCTAGTTTTTTTGCGATTAGAACCGACTATTTAGCGGCTTTTTTTCTGGCTAGTTAAATTTAAAAAACTATACCATAGTCACGCTGGAATAAGGCACGCAATCCAATCTTTCGTCTTTCGGGAATAAGTAGAACTCTACCAATGTTTGTCAATATTTTTGATCAAATTGTACCTATTTCTTAATAGATAACAAAATAAAATCAAAAGACAATTATTGTCACGTTTGAAGTTTCATTCGCATCATGCGTCTTTTATAATTTGGCCGATTATTATTTATTTGACAGTATTATTACGGACGGATGTAGGAGGAAGCACGGGAGTAGACCCCTAGGCTAAGGCGTCTAATTAGCCACAGGTCTTCTATTTAAATTTTTCTTCAATAATTTAATTTACTGACATTTTACGCGGAAATCGTTATCCAATGTCAAAGATGAGTAGTTCGCGACAGGCTAAACGGCTAAAATGTGTAAGCCATACATACAGCTAGAATTAAATTAATGTAACATGGCTAAAAATCAATGATTTTTATACAAAGATCATGTCAGCTTTATTTGACCCAAATTTTTTTTCATGTTTTGAGATTTAGAAAATATTAAAGTTTTAAGGCGGAACGTGACAGCTCTGTATTTACACGATTCACGATTGCAATTGTTTTGATCGCAGAAATGATGAACGTTAAAACATGGTTAATGTAGTGGGTGGTAGGTATGATGAATCCTATATTGTAGAAGTACTAGGTATTTTGCGCAAATATAAAAGAGCTCAAAAAATGTTTTTTTTTTTTAATCTATAAAAGCCAAAAATATGTAATGTTTGTAAATGTGAACGTGTGTTATTGTTTTATGTCAAAACTTGTATACTCCCGTAACTGACTGGGAGTTCGGCACTTAATATCGGTTTACGAAATCTGCCGAAATCGGTCGGTGTTGTGAATTTAGAGTAAATTGGTAGTTCACGTTCAGATAATTGTATTAAATGCCATCGTTTGGGACAGTGAAATATGACCTCAAAAAAGGCGTTCTTCATGCTTGAGATCATCTTGATATTGTGGCCAAGCGTGCGTCTATTTTTTATTATATAAAAAAATATTATATAAAAAAGTAATTGATTTGCTATACAGTGCTTCGCTTTTGTACTTATTTATTTTTATTTATCTTTGAAGTAGTTCATGATCGTTTCCGTACCCATTAAAAAAGGAGCAGTTAGAATAGTGAAGAGCATAATATCAAGCCTTACATTTGGGACCGTTTTCTTATCACAAACGGCATAAAGTGTAATTTAAATCTTAAATGTCAAGCTTGAAATGCTCTTAACCCTGTAATGTCTACAATTATTGTGTTAGCCGTGTCGGCTACCAGAATGACTTAACACTGATTGCAGATGTTAATGGTCGCATTATTTTGTCTTTATCCAAATACCTACCTACGGTATAGGCGTAAGTAGGTATTTGGATAAAGCTACTGTATTTTTAGTTAAAATGACTATTGACTTTGAAGAACATTTTAGTGACGTAGCGGATAATATTTTAAGTTAGTACTGTGTTATAATTATTAATACAAAGATCGAACACTCAGAAAAAATTCCTTCGATCCGGTCGGATTCGAACCGACGCGACGTCTTCTTGCATACCGTGCCAGACGCTATACCAACTAAGCCACGGAACGAACCAACAACGGACCTCACGAATTTTTCTATGTGTTGGCGTCGTGTCTTTGTACTTGGTCTTTCAACGACTTTTTAGTCGTAGCGCCATCTATGAGAAATCTATTACAGATTTATCACCCAGTTAGTACCTTTACAGCTACCAGTCCTGGCGAGAGATGTCGCTATTCACTGTATTAATTAAATTTTTATTGAATTTATATTCATTTATTTTTTGTGAAATTACTCCACTAGTTTGTTATAATTATTAATACAAAGATCGAACACTCAGAAAAAACACTCAGAAAAAATTCCTTCGATCCGGTCGGATTCGAACCGACGCGACGTCTTCTTGCATACCGTGCCAGACGCTATACCAACTAAGCCACGAAACGAACCAACGGACCTCACGAATTTTTCTATGTGCTTGCGTCGTGTCTTTGTACTTGGTCTTTCAATGATCGAAGGAATTTTTTCTGAGTGTTTTTTCTGAGTGTTCGATCCTTGTATTAATAATTATAACAAACTAGTGGAGTAATTTCACAAAAAATAATTGAATATAAATTCAATAAAAATTTAACTAGCACTGTGTATTATGTAAGTATAAAGTACAAGTATAAACGTTTAATTTTTAAACAAACGCGAGTCTCTGTGCCTTATTTATAAAATATTGCAGTGGTTCCTAGGTAAGTCATGTCGTAGATGTCATTTCCATTGCTAATCTTTTTTTAAAAGGGAATATAATTAAGTGGCCCATTCACTACCACCATGTTAGTCCGTCGCGCATGCGGGAGACAGGAGACTGCTAACTCTAACATACTACCCTGCGCATGATGAGATAATACTATTACAGAACAGCACAAAAAGTCATGGAAATGCCAATCGTGTCGATCTAAAGAACTAAAACAAGATAATGAAAATACGCCTATACGACCATATCACCATTTCGATAACTGCGAAATACCTATTTACCATCAGACCGCAACAGTGGATCCAAATGTTACGAAAAGGAAAAAGACACCCCGGTACACCGAAGAAAAATCAACAATTAGTGATGACGATTTAACAATTTCGCTTCATGGAAATACCCTAATCGGCGAAGCACTAAAATCCCAAACTAGAGAGAACGCCATGGTTAGCCTTAAAAAAGAAGATTAACAAAAATTACTGTGCAGAAACTGATATCCATATTGCAACAAAACAACGAACAAATACTATCAGCAATACGCTCTTCTTTCAGAATGAAATAGAAAATGCTATATTTGAAATTAAGGCGAGCTTTAAACAAAGTTTCGAAAACCTTACAGATTAACAGTTACAATTTAAGGAGGACCTATTAAGCCTAAACGCTAAAATAATAAAATTAGGAAAAAATACCGTGCTATCCAAGCAGAAAATGAAAATTTGTAAAAAAAATTCAACACCTACATACTAATGTTAACCTTACTACTAATGAAAGTAGAGATAAAACATTGATATTGCACGGCCTCCTGGAACATTACTGGGAAACAGAACCAGAAGTAATGGACAGAGTTACAACCATTTTCTATGACTTACTTAACGTGAACCTTATCGGCTAAATAGAAGAGGTATTCATTCATAGGACGAAAGAACAACAGAAGACCACTAAAAATAGAATTAAATAGCAAAAGATTAAAGAAATATACTCTGGAAAACGCTATATATTTAAAAGAAGCCGGGTTAACTATTACCGAATATTTGAGTCCTCATGGCAAATCTTTGCAAGAAAGAAGAAACATAAATCGAACTTTACACAAACCGCGGCGAAATGGGAACCATGCTGTAGTGAGAAACAACAAGTTATTTATTGATGGGAGGGAAGTAACAGATTTATCACATAATGATACACAGATGGAAAATTACACGCAGTTTGAGGATCCTGAAGACACAAAACTAGATGATCAG